GTTGACCCTCATAATCCCCTTCAGACCTTTCGACTCAAGTCGCTTCAGGGGACCTGACCTGGCAGGAGTCCTTGCCACCCACCAGGTATCCCAGGCAGATCATGTTGTTGGTGATGTCACCGGGGTATGAATTCCTGCAGGTGTCACTCAGCACGGGCGCCTGGACGCACATGACGACATTGGGGCTGCCTGTAGGGAGACACGCAGGTGGTGGTGATGAGGCATCGTACATTGGGGAAACATGCTAGGGTAATGTGAGGACAGAGAAACTCATAAGCAGAGAGGCGGCAGAAGAGAGGACTCGACGTGAAGATACCAGTTATGCAGAGGCAATAGAAAGGGTTGGCAGTTTGGGTCCATGTATAAACCTGGAGAAAAGTAAGCAGAGGAAGATAGCAGAAGAGAGGGTGAGATGAAATCCGAGAGTTTGGAGACCACTTCTGGACAGACACTGAGAAAGGAAAGGAAGTATTGGAAGAAAATTGGGAGGCCTGTGCCCAGAAGTGGCAAGTTACAGGCTCACCCCACAACAATAACAAGATGGACAAGTACAGTTATAACTCTTAGTCCAGTTTAAGCTCCAGGTCCAGCCTGCCTCATTCTCAGAACTGTTATCCAATGCTTAGCTCTAAATATTGCAAATAATATATCCCTAGACGCAATACCATGTATTTATACCCTTCAAGTAGCTAAAATAGTTTTTTTTCTGAAATGTATTGCTATGGTACACGCATGTCTAAGTGTTGTGTCAGCATGTACGGGGAAGATATCAAATACTTTCTCCGATGTTTTAGGGTTGTACTGTGTGTTCTTCGGAATTATGTGTGACACATCACTCGTAGTGTTGGGAACTTCCAAGAAGTGGAGCGAAATGCTGGAAATCATGAACACCATGTGGCATAGCCCAAAAACACATCCAGCAACACAAAGCAACCACAAAACCGACATTGTAAAATCTTTAAAAAGTCTTCCTTAAATGTTTTTTCCAGGGTAGACGGACATCTAAGTGCCGTGTCCTCACCGATGCTGGTCTGGGTCTCGTCCCAGCCGGAGATGGTGCACATGACTCCGGTGCCGACTCAGGAGGAGGGCAGCGCGATGGCCTGCGCGTACTGGTTGAGGGTGGCGGGCGAGGACAGCTTGATGAGCATTATGTCGTTGTCGATGGTGGCCGAGTGGTATTGGGGGTGGCGGATCGCCTTGGAGGCCTGGATCCTCTGCTCGGTGCCCTCGGTCACGAAGATGTTGTGCTCGCTGATGCGCACGGAGATAAGGGACGCGCTGGGGGTGGAGGAAGTGGACGATAGTAGTGATGAAGATTTTTTATTTTTAGCTGATCGCTTCAATTTGAACCCATTCGGCCATAAATGCTAATTTTCCATTATAACCTGGTCACACAATAGAACCCTGCTTACAGAATCAGCAAAAATATTAGTTGTACTGTACTTCTATGCCGTCACATCTACACTCCCCACCGTAACCAACCCAAATTGACCAGTATGGTTGATTGCTAAGTGCTGTAACTATTTGATATAATCGCCTAAACAAAACGAACTGATGGGGCACATCGCCTTGTTGTGGAAAGATGTCGCATACCTTTGCAATCTTCTCGTAGCCCTTTATCGCTTGGTCGTATGGGTCTCGTTCAAAATCATATGAGCGGCTTCTTCATGTTATCAGCTGTGACACTGCTGCCCCATAGGTGAAGCTTAAGTGAACATTCTTTGTGGCTAGGTCTTAGTTCAACAACATGGGCTTCAAATTATTTTCAGATAAGGTCGTAATCACCAGGTTGTAGGTGTACACTACATTTTACACAAGTCGATGACCCAGCCAGGTGGACTACTAGCGGGTCCGCTGCCTGGAGGCTTCACTTTTATTGTCCGGAGGTTTGTTCACGGACCATCTTCATTCTTGACACGGGCAGCCCTGTACCAAGAGATGAGGCTGCTTATATGGGCCTCGGCGTGTCCGGGCGCCATCCCAGGCCACGCCTTCCTTCGAGCACCCTCTCCAAGACCTCTCGGCTCCCACGTGCCCTCTAAGGTGCCCCCCGGGCCCCCGGCCCCCACCGGGTTTCGGTCACGTGTCTGGCCGGGTTAACAGAGTGCCTCGGCCTCACACCACTCCATGTGACCTCCCGAGTCTAGACCCGGCCCTGACGTAATTCCCGTCTCCAGCCGGAATGACGTCATGTGTGTTTCGTCTGTGTGTGTGTGGGCCCGCGGGGTAGTGACGCTCCCCCGCATAATGACGTCACACATGTGCGTGTGCGTTCACAAAGTAGTGACACTACCAGTCGCTACACATTTATGGGGCCGCCGCTGTCAGATAAATACCATGAATTAGTGTCCTAAACTCAGCCCCTAATCATCATCATCAACACAGTTATCATTATTAGCATTATATTTACAGTCAGGGTCATTGCCTCCAATATTATGATGCTTGTCTTTGGGCGATGCTGAACATAGATTTGAGACAGTAAAGATGGCCATTTTCATGACGCGGCTTTTTCAATTAGGCATCGTTTGAAAACCAACTTTGTGATTTAGATATAAAAAGTCCGCTTTATTTATTGGAGAAATGCTCGTAACATACTCCGGTGTTGGACGGACTCAGATTAACTTTTTTTTTAATCGACGTTGAGATAGCAGTTACGATGCATTCAGTTGTGTGTATGTGTCAAATCATTTATTCCATAAATAAGCCATATGTTCTCAAAATAATTCCCCTCACGACACAATACTGATTGAGCTTCGGTATATTGCTATAAATTACGATAAAAAATGTATAACAGCCCTGTTACGTAAATTTGGGATTTTCACCACTGGTTCAGAACCAGAGTACAGTGCTGTAATCAGAACCTCATCCCTAACCCAAATGTTACTCAGACGAAGTCCACTTAAAAATGATTTCGTTTATATGTGAACACATTTTTAAACGGTCCACACACCTTGCAGTTATTTACGGCTGAGGCAACATCGAAGAGGCTGAAGACGAGTTCAGGAATGACTGTAAACTGATAGCCGTAGCCAAGAGTTTCACTCAGGTTGCCGGGTTCGTAGCGCATTGCGCTATTCGCTGTGCCACTGATCAAAATTACACACGTAACAAATACAAAGCTACCTCATATAGCCTTTAACAGGCTGTCGGGGCAAGTGTTGTTCTCGAGTATCCATAAAGGCTGGCACGGCGCACAAGGTGGTGGTATTGCCAGCACTACGCCTGGCCACATTTGTCTCCCCAGTGAAAATGAGCTTCATAGCTCATCGGATTCTTCCAGGATAAATAAAAATTCTGCTTTTGAGTGCTGATGTTTATACACACCGCACCAGGTATGCTCATGTGGGGGCTCAGTAAACATCAGAGACGCACACACACACATAAACTCAACGACTTCTCGCCAGCGACTCCCACGTGCAGAGCGAAGATGAGGCCGTGCATGTTGAGTTGTGGATCTTGAGACAAGTCACACTGAACCACTGCCCAGAGCCCCCTTTTATTCTCGCCAACCACCTCTCTTATCTCGTGGCCTTGGCCTGATATCTCCACGCCGCGCAACACCTCTTGGCAGTCTTGTTAAAAACGTCGATATTTTCCCACCGCAATACGAGATCTGCAAGAACAAGTCAAAAAGATATGGATAGGAGCATTCATTCCGAGTGTCGTTTTATTATACTCCGACATTTGTTGTCAGTCCAGTGCTGGGTAAAGGCCTTCCCACACCATGTCGATCACTGGAGTTGTTTGACCACACGTAACCTTGGTGGGCAGTGCGGGTTGGTGAAGGGCTGTGGCGGAGAATTGAAAGCAGGTGGTCAAGTTCATGGCACAGTGAGTTAACTACATTGCCACTGCAAATAGAGTTGAAGCCTGTGTGACCCGGACAGTTCGGGAACCGGCATCCGTGTTTGGGGGGCAGTTTTGCTAGACCTAGTCTAACCAAACTGTCCCAGTTTGGTTTTTGGGTGAAAACACTTAAGTGTGAGTGCTGTGAAAACGGTGGCAACTCTAGATCATCCTAATATACGTATACAAGCACACATTAGCGCGTTTTTAACTTAAATTAATAACTTATTTATCCAGGAAAGCCACGCTGAGTCGTCGGACTCTTTGCAGTAGGGTCCTATATTGGGTTATGTCAAGATGTTTTCTGTCCATTAATGCGACTTTCATTATACAAGTGGGAGTAAATCGGAGAAACCCTATGGGCACGAGGGGGCAACAAAATCACCATACAGATTGAAACAGATGGCATGCAGTCCACTTCCTGTACTGCCTTCTCCTGGAGAGCGAGGATATCGCACCTCGACGCTCACAGGAAGCGATTCTCACAACGTTTTCGCGATCCACCAACCCTGATGCTGGATTACCATAGATTATTGACAAGATTTTTGGTATAAAAACTACCAACCCAAAAAAATATGTAACCAGTATCTGTGATTTTAACTTTCAGTTAAAAGCAATTCGATGTCAGCTTAATAAAATATAATGACTTTGACTATGATACATTTGACAGCAGTAATGTCCTTGGCGTATACTTAAGTAAGAAAGGTAAAGGTGCAGCCTTGCAATTTATTTCTCACTGCACCGCTGGCAGAAGGGCCTCCACTTGAGGGAGCTCTAAAGAACACATCTAGAGGATATTATATATATACTGATGTGTACTTACGTAAGTATTCATTTTATGAGCTCTCAATTCCAAAACTTTTCCACAGAGATCTAGATATTTTCACAATTTGTGGAACGGGTGTGCAACTGCAGAACCACTGTTAATCACAGCTGCCACATAACACACATAACGTCAAATGGCATCATCACTACCAAGAAGGAAATCTGAACTGGGACAATGAATGCAACGTCCGTGGAAAGAAAAACATAAAATGGACCAATTTTAACATGTGGAACCGGTGACTTGCTATTTCCATCCCATGTGGGAAAATATCGACGAATTTTATGAGACAGGCATGAGGTACCAGGTAACGTAGAGATTACAACAAGGCCATGAGATAAGAGGGGTCTCAACGAGCATAAAAGGGGACCCTTGGCAGTGGATCAGCATCGTCGTTCAGGATCTTCACTGCACAATGTACGGACTCATCTTCGCTCTGCTCGTGGGCACCGCTGGTAAGACTTTGTGTAACTTCCACTGGTAACTTGCTGCGTAGTGAATGGTTTTGGGTCGAACTAGGACCCATGTCTGGCAGAGATGGTCTTTGTACGTATATTGAACTTCTTTCGCCAACCGTGCCAATCTTTGGCTATAGACATCTGTCAGTTTAATAGCATTGGTTTAAGCAAGCCTGACAGTGATGGACATTATTAGTGGTCGTTTGGTATCTTATTCTGCCTTAGGCCTCCACAAGGTTGGCTCAAATTGGAACACTTTTCACCTCCGCTGATGATGTGCATCAACAAACTAATGGAGGAGATCAACGGTGTGCTCCTAATTTGAAAATTACTTGAGTTAAACTGAATTATACGAAAGAACTCGATGGGGCGCATGCCCGTGTTTTATCCCAAGAGATTGGTGAAAATGTTACATTCCTACTATGGGGCCTATATTGTCCATCTCACAAGAATGATTGAGCAAGTGATGCAACATTGCTAGTAACCCCAGAGGCGTGATAATCCTGTTGACGATTATCCTCACGATTAATGTTGGGTCTGAATAATTAACCGCGTTCAGGCTACCAATTCACACTCTGCTTTGTTGACAGCGGCGGCCCCGTACATGTATGAGGACCACATCGTGGGTGGCTACGAGTGCGCTGCCCACTCGCAGCCGTGGCAGGTGTCCCTCAACATCGGATACCACTTCTGCGGAGGCTCCCTGATCTCCAGCGAGTGGGTCGTGTCTGCCGCTCACTGCTACCAGACGTGAGTTCACATGGACATAAGCGATGCTCTTTGTGTGTGTGTGTGAATGGGAGGGGAGTAGTATTGCACTGATTAGTGCACTGCGCTGCGAACCCTGCAACCCGAACTCGATTCCCAGCATAAGTGGCGATATCTGACACGGTCCTGTGCCCTCCCCCAGGTTGACTCACCGTTAAATGAGTACCTCGTGAAGCTGGTCAACACTAGAGAAACGAAGGGGACTGTGCATTTGAACGTTAATGATTCTATACATCCGTTCAACGTCCTCAACGAGAGCAGGGTCAGATACATGCGGGCAATACGTCAATATTTGCGTTGTGCTGGTTCAGTGTGTAACGCAAAAAAAGTATGCAAAATATATATACATGCAAAAACATACATGGTAAATAAATGGTTCTCACAGTTAATTTGATGAAACCTTCCTAACGGATGCAGCACTCTCATGACACAACTTTTCGACACAGAGATGAAAATCTTAGCAACGTGAAACGGCGTAGAGCCGAAACATCGGCTCTACGCGGTTTTATATTATTGTGCCCGGTGGGATGATGAGTCAGTTCCCCAACATGAACTGAGCTTGTATTCTATGATTGTTCTTGCGCTTAGCCGCCTGGATCATTTTACAGCAGGACATTGAAATTGTTGGAATTAAATGTGGCGCAAGGTGCTTTTGGTTGCTCGGGCATGAAAGCAAAGAAATATAAATTAAAATCTTCATCACTATTATCGTCAACCTCCTCCACCCCCAGCGCGTCCCGCATCTCCGTGCGCATCGGCGAGCACAACATCTTCGTGACCGAGGGCACCGAGCAGAGGATCCAGGCCTCCAAGGCGATCCGCCACCCCCAGTACAACTCGGCGAAAACTGACAACGACATCATGCTCATCAAGCTGGCCTCGCCCGCTACCCTCAACCAGTACGCGCAGGCCGTCGCGCTGCCCTCCTCCTGCGTCGGCACCGGAGTCATGTGCACCGTCTCCGGCTGGGGCGAGACCCAGACCAGCGTCGGTGAGGACACGGCGCTTAGACGTCCGTCTACCCTGGAAATGCAATTAAAGGAATACTTTTTAAAGATTTTACCATATCCGTTTCATGGTTGCTCTGTTTAGATCTCGGATGTGTTTTCGGGCTGTGCCACGTGGTGTTCATCATGATGTCTAGAGTTTCGCTCTACTTCTTGGGAGTTCCCAACACTACGAGTGAAGCTTCGTTCGGACGTCATGCTGAAGAACACTCAGTACAACCCAAAAACATATCAGAGATATTAGTTGATTTCTTCTCCATACAAGCTGACACAACACTTATACATGCTTGTACCAGGGTAAAACATTCATTAAGATAAAAAATGTTAGTATAAGTACATGGTACTCTGTCTAGCGATATTTTCGTGGATTTTTTTAGCAATGTTTATAGCTAAGCATTGAATAACAGTTCTGAGCATGAGGCAGGCTTGACCTGGAGTTCAAACTGGACTAAAAGTTGTCACTAGACTTGTCCATCTTGTTGTTGTTGTAGTGTGAGCTTGTGATTGACCACTTCTGGGCACAGGCCTCCCTCATGTCTTCCTTTACTTTCTCAGTGTCTGTCCAGCAGTCGTCACGGAACTCTTTTCCACTGTCTTTCTCTGCTTACTTTCTCCAGGTTTATCAATGGGCACAAGCTTCCAACCCATTAAATTTCCTCTGCATTACTGGGACCTTCACGCTGAGTCCACTGAACTCTCTTATGCCGCCCCCTCTGCTTATGAGTTTCTCCGTCCTCACGTTACCCCAATATCTTTCTCCAGTGTATGATGCCTCAACAATGCCACCCGCGTGTCTCCATACAGGCAGCCCCGATGTCCTCATGTGCGTCCAGGTGCCCGTGATGAGTGATACCTCCTGCAGGAACGCCTACCCTGGGTCCATCACCGACAACATGATCTGCCTGGGATACCAGGAGGGTGGCAAGGACTCCTGCCAGGTGAGGTCCCCTGAAGCGACTTGAGTCGATATGTCTGAACGGGAGTATGAGCGTAGACCTGCCCTCTTGCTACAAACCAGTGCCACCTCCACCAAACATACATTCTCATCGATATTTTGGTTGAATCTCTTTCATCCAACTCAATATTAATCACGTTTTTTTTCACAGACATAAAGGTTGGGAACCACGACATTAGATGCTGGAACCAACTGCTAACTGCTGACCCTTTGACCCCTGATTCCGCCACTGCAGGGAGACTCCGGTGGCCCCGTCGTATGCAATGGCCAGCTGCAGGGCATCGTTTCCTGGGGCCGCGGCTGCGCCCTGGCCAACTACCCCGGCGTGTACACCAAGGTGTGCAACTACAACTCCTGGATCGCCAGCACCATGGCTGCCAACTGAGCGACTCACTCGGAAGCCACCTTGCCGAGCAACAAGCACCGTGATGATTGTAATGCCATGAAACGAATAAAACCATAGAAATGTTGATGGCACCATGTTTTTGTGGTCTTATTTTCTTAGTAAAGTTGATGATCGATACATCGCATAGCACGGTACAATGGATTGAGTTGCTCGATTGCTCTGCTACCCACAAAGCAGCCCCGTAGCAATCAATACAGCACAGGACTTCTTAACCGCTTTGGTATGGTGGCCCTATACCTCCAACGTGCAATCCTTGAAACAATAGTACACGTTTAAAAATAGATATGATTAGTTAAAATTGTTCATAACAACAAAGTGGCCAATTTAAGTCGTTTGCTTTGGGTATGTCGAATCATTTGGCCAAGAATCAACTGAGTTGAATCGATGCAAAGGAGGGGGTGACATTCAAATGATTGGATTGTCGGCTTCCCATTGGTTGATTCAATCTCCTCTCAGCTCGAAACATGAAATACAGCGTGAACTCGGGATGGTCTCAGGGATGCTGCCTGACAATCACAACCCGCCATTTTCCTAATTTGAATATGACCCGCCACATGCAAATAACTCCTCCTTCTCTCCTGCTAGATTTAAAAATCGATGGTCGTTACTTTGAGGCCGCGTTAAGTGTGGAAAGCTTTCTGACAGGTCACGGTACAGACCGAGGTGCCATCGATCGACTCACTGAGATGACTGGCAGATGCACACCAGCTGTGTCTCTTACTGTGCCATCTTGCTTCATTTTATACGCCCAGCGCTCCGTTCGTTGTTGTGAGCGTCGCTCCTCTGCCCTGCTTTGTTGTTGGAGGGCGACTGCCTCCAACTGAACAGTCGCGTCCTTCACGACACAGGCACACACACGGCTATACACAGGGGGTGCGCTTTCATATTGAGATATTTTGATCATCAAATTCACTGCTGGATGAAGATTGCCATTTTTTACGATGCGGGGGGCGTGGTGACGGGATGGGGAGCAGGTGCAGTTCACGTCACCACTCGCCACTGATGTTAGCCGCGCATCTCCAAGCCCCACCATTACTGATCCCACTCCGCGGATATCTGTGAAAAAGAGCTTTAGAGCACATCGGATTCCTTCAGGATAAATAATTATTCTGATTCTGAACTCAAACTCAACACTGGGACCGAACACCGAATCGTCGAACCTCACCTCCCCTATTCGTCCATATCTTCAAAAATCCAATCAACGCCCGAGGTCGGCGTAATGGGTGTTGTCTGTCTGTGTACGTCACAGTTACATGAACGTGAATGAGCCGCCATCTCGGCGTCTGTTTGACTGACGTCCTCATCGAGTGGACGGCCAAGATACACGCGTTGATGTGTGGACATTTGCATTGTGCGAGTACGTGTTACACGTTCTGTATGTAGCAGGGCTCGAGAGGAGACAGAAAAACTCACTGCAGGTCACCCCCTCCTATCTCAATCCCAGCTACAGGATGGTTCCACAATTTGTAGAATGGGTCCGCAAACTGCAGAAATACTCTTAAGCACAGCTGCCACGTTATACACACACAAATGACACCATCTCTACCAAGTGTGAGATCATAAACAGAACAATATAAGTAACGTCCGTGGAAAAAAACAATAAATGGAACCAATTTTAAGGTTTCGATTTAAAGCTTTCGTGACTGCAGGGATTCATCTTCTTGGTTCTTTCGGTAAAGTCACGTAGAAGGGAAGTAATAAAATAATAAAAATAAAACATAATAAAATTATTCTCACGACGTTTCGGCCACAACGCAAGCAGCCGTCCTCAGGTGAAAACCAGGTCCGTCGAGGCGACAGAGTCTGAACATTCAGACATTCAGACTCTGTCGCCTCGACGGACCTGGTTTTCACCTGAGGACGGCTGCTTGCGTTGTGGCCGAAACGTCGTGAGAATAATTTTATTATGTTTTATTTTTATTATTTTATTACTTCCCTTCTCCGTGACTTTACCGAAAGAACCAAGAAGATCAATTTTAAGGTGTTGAATCGCTGACTCGCAATTTTTTGTCTCATGTGGGAAAATATAGACGAGTTTATTGAGACAGACAGAAGGCATTGGGTAACGTAGAGATGAGAATAAGGCCAAGAGATGAGAGGGCTCTCAACGGGTATAAAAGTTGACCTTCGGCAGTGGTTCAGCATCGTCGTTCAGGATCTTCACTGCACCATGTACGGACTCATCTTCGCTCTTCTCGTGGGCACCGCTGGTGAGACTTTGTGTAACTTCCACTGCTAACTGGTTGCATAGTGAATGGTTTTGGGTCGAACTGGGACCCATGTCCAGCAGAGATGGTCTTTGTACGTATGCTGAACTTATTTCGCACCGTACGTATCCAACCGTTCAAATTTTTGCCTATAGATATCTGGCAGTTTAACAGAATTGGTTTAAACAGGACAGACAATGATGGGTATCATTATTGGTCATTCGGTATCTTAATTTGGCGTAGGCCTCCGCTAGGTTAGCTCCATCGGAAACATGTTGCACCTCCTATGGTGATGTGCATCACCAAACTAACAGAGGAGAGGAATGCGTGCTGCTTATTTGGCTGTGCCGGAAAGTTTGTCTTTGACTTAAGCTGAATTATACCCAAGTGCAAGATGGGGCTAATATCCGTCATTGTTCCCAAGCAAGTGGTGGAAATTCTGAATTTCTTCTGTGGGGCCCATATTGTCCATCAAACAGGAACGACGATTGAGCAAGTGATGCAACATTTCTCGTAAACATATCGGAGTGACTTTTTTTTCAGGAATTGGTCTTTGTAATTGTGTTAGTGGTAACATTGGTGATGATGATCATTACGGAGACAGTAGAGGCGGATCTATAATATTCCCACGAGGAGTGTTCATAAAATGTCCATACTTTTAAATGGGGACTTACATTAACAATACGTTTTTTTTCTGGTAAATATCAATACCAAAATTACTTTTGCACTCAAGGGGTAGGAGGGGAGTAGCATTGCCTCCATTACTTCACTAGGATTCTCCACTTGAATGTTGGGTCTGAGTAATTGAATGTTGGGTCTGAGTAATTTACCGTGGCCAGAACACCAATTCACACTCTGCTTCGCTGACAGCGGCGGCCCCATACATGTATGAGGACCACATCGTGGGTGGCTCGGAGTGCGCTGCCCACTCGCAGGCGTGGCAGGTGTCCCTCAACACCGGATACCACTTCTGCGGAGGCTCCCTGATCTCCAGCACTTCTTAACCCCTTTGGTATGGTGGCCCTATACCTCCCATCTGCAATCCTTTAAATAATAGTATACGTTTAACAAACATAGTTTAGTTAAAATTGTACATAGCAACAAGGTGGCCAATATAAGTAATTTACTTTGGGCATGTCGAATTGTTTGTTCTAGATTTGAAGTTTTCGTGACTGCAAGGATCCATACTCTTTGGTTCTTTCGGTAAAGTCACCTCTGTGAAAAAATAAAATATATTAAATGAAAAATAAATTAATTAAATCACAACGTTTGGTCAAGAATCAACCGAGTTAAGTCGATGCAAAGGAGGGGGTGACATGCAAATGAGATGGATTATGCCTGCTTCCCATTGGTAGATTTAAACTCCTCCCACAGGAAATAAAGGACGACCTTGGCGTGCCCTCAGGGACGCTCCCAGCCAATCACAACCCGCCTTTTTCCTAATTTGAATATGACCCGCCCCATGCAAATAAACTCCTCCCTCTCTCCTGCCAGAATAAATAATCGATGGTCGGTAAATCGATCAAACATTGAGGACTCAATGAACTGTTCAGGCATAAAAGTCGATCGTCGAGTCCGGTTCACCTCTTGTGAGGGGTGCTGGAAGCTTTAAACCGAACTGCGCTTAGCAGTCACCGCGTGGGACCTTCCAACAACAACAACAGCCGCCATTTACCACTAAGTGGCGGTGACGTCAACACGGCGACTGAGCCAGGCCAAGTGCACTTTGAGACGTACACAGACAGACCTAGGCTGACCAAACTGACCCAGTTTGGTTTTTGGGTGCTGTGAAAACGGTGGCAAACTCTTGATCATCCTAATATACGTATGCAAGCACACATTAGCGCGTTTTTTTACTTATAATAATAACTTATTTATCCAGGAAAGCCACGTTGAGTCGTCGGACTCTTTGCAATAGGGTCCTATATTGGGTTATGTTAAGATATTTTCTGTCCATTAATGCAACTTTCATTATACAAGTGGGAGTAAATCGGAGAAACCCTATGGGCACGAGGCGGCAACAAAATCACAATACAGATGGCATGCAGTTCACTTCCTGTACTGCCTTCTCCTGGAGAGCGAGGATATCGCACCTCGACGCTCACAGGAAGCGAGTTTCACAACGTTTTCGCGATCCAACAACCCTGATGCTGGATTACCATAGATTTTTGACAATATTTTTGGTATTAAAACTACCACCCCAAAAAAATATGGATCAGTATCCGTGATTTTGACTTTCAGTTAAAAGAAATTCGATGTCTGCTTAATAAAATATAATGACTTTGACTATGATAAATTTGACAGCAGTAATGTCCTTGGCGTATACTTAAGTAAGAAAGGTAAAGGTTTAGCCTTGCAATGTATTTCTCACTCCACCGCTGGCAGAAGGGCCTCCACTTGAGGGAGCTCTAAAGCACACCTCTAGAGGATATACATACTGATGTATACTTATGTAATTATTCATTTTATGAGCTCTCAATTCCAGAACTTTTCCACAGAGATCTAGATATTTTCACAATTTGTGGAACGGGTGTGCAACTGCAGAACCACTGTTAATCACAGCTGCCACATAACACACATAACGTCAAATGGCACCATCACTACCAAGGAGGAAATCTGAACTGGGACAATGGACGCAACGTCCGTGGAAAGAAAAACATAAAATGGACCAATTTTAACATGTGGAACCGGTCACTTGCTATTTCCATTCCATGTGGGAACATATCGACGAATTTTATGAGACAGGCAGAGGCACCAGGTAACGTAGAGATTACAACAAGGCCATGAGATAAGAGGGGTCTCAACGAGCATAAAAGGGGACCCTTGGCAGTGGTTCAGCATCGTCGTTCAGGATCTT